TGACAAAAATGTCATGGAAAAATGGAGCATCTAGCCAGCCATGATAATTTATTTCTCATGTTATTTGGATCCCAACAAATGTGTAAACAATATTAAAAGATATTAGATTGGATAGCAATATATTTTTATCAGTAATGACTATAATCACATAAGTGCTACCTCTAAATCACGTTTTTCAGAGCCGTCGTTATACCTACATAAGTTTTTACAAAAATAACATTAATATGCATGCGTTCTGGTTGTCTGGGTAAGCAAACTAGTCCTTCTGATCACATTTGGTCCAATGGCATCCAGAAAAGTGGCTTCGGCCTATGACACATTATTTTGAATTGTTCGATTTAGAAACCTTGCTGTGCTTTTAGCTGGTTCCAAATCGATATATCTCAATACTACCAATACTACAAGGCTGGAGTTAGTGAATGCGTGCAGTGTAGAATGGTATAATGTAATGGAGGTTTTTTTTTTATACGTTATTAGCGAGATTTTTTGTTCATCTCGTATGGTAATGGAGGTAAAATTAACATATAGTGGGAAAAATTTAAACAGACACTGGGGGTAAAATGAAACAATATGCACACTGCTGTTTTTACCTCCATGAATTGTGATTACTCCCATATGTCGATGGAAAAATTCAAAGTTCAGTAGTTTTTTTTTTTTTTTTTTTTAACTCTTTATTTGTTCCAAATTCAAAATAAATTACATTTCATTTTAACCTAGGTGCTCCAGTTACTGCAGTAACGTACCAGCCTTAATTGTTATGATATATATCTAAGTGTTTTTACATTGTTCATGTCTTGGCAATTCAGTATTTTAAACAGGTTTTTTAACCTGCATGTCAGTATAACAATTGATATCTTAAAACTAAAAACTAAAACTAAATCTTATCTAAGTATAAAGGGAATTAATCGTTGCAATTGAGGATTGCAACGATTTTTGCCTGAAATTATTCATTATTTTGTTGGACATTTGTGCTAAAGTCTCAACATTCGAAATTCTATGTACTTCGGTTGTACTGTACCAGGGAGGCAACTTCAAAATCATTTTCAGAATTTTGTTCTGAATCCTTTGAAGTGCTTTTTTCCTGGTAGTGCAGCAACTAGACCATATTGGTACAGCGTAAAGCATGGCCGGTCTAAAAACTTGTTTAAATATTAGAAGTTTATTCGTCAGGCAAAGTTTGGATTTCCTGTTTATAAGAGGATACAAACATTTTATATATTTGTTACATTTGGCTTGAATGCCCTCAATGTGATCTTTAAAAGTTAATTTTTGGTCAAGTATTAATCCAAGATATTTCACTTGGTTTGACCAGGAAATTGGAACTCCGTTCATAGTGACTATGTGACTACTACTAGGTTTCAAAAACGAAGCTCTAGGCTTATGTGGAAATATTATAAGTTGAGTTTTGGAAGCGTTGGGAGAAATCTTCCATTTTTGTAAATAAGAAGAAAAAATATCTAAACTTTTCTGAAGTCTGCTGCAAATAACACGAAGACTTCTTCCTTTAGCGGAAATGCCTGTGTCATCAGCGAACAAAGATTTGTGGCAACCCTGAGGCAAATCAGGGAGGTCCGAAGTGAAAATGTTATACAATATAGGCCCAAGAATGCTACCCTGAGGAACTCCTGCCCTAACAGGTAGTCGATTAGATTTGGAATTTTGATAATTTACTTGAAGAGTTCTGTCAGTTAAATAATTTTGAACTAATTTCATAATATAAAGTGGAAAATTAAACTTTTTCAATTTAGCAATCAAACCTTCATGCCAAACACTGTCGAATGCTTTTTCTATGTCTAGAAGAGCAACTCCAGTTGAGTGGCCTTCAGATTTGTTTGAACGAATTAAATTGGTAACTCTTAAGAGTTGATGAGTAGTTGAATGCCCATGGCGAAATCCAAACTGCTCATCTGCAAAAATTGAGTTCGTATTGATGTGAAGCATCATTCTATTCAAAATTATCTTTTCAAAAAGTTTACTTATTGAAGAAAGCAAACTTATTGGACGGTAGCTAGAAGCTTCAGCTGGATTTTTATCCGGCTTCAAAATTGGAACAACTTTTGCATTTTTCCATTTATCAGGAAAGTATGCCAAATGGAAACATCTGTTAAATAATTTTACCAAGAAAGACAAGGTACTCTCTGGAAGTTTTTTGATGAGGATATAGAAAATTCCATCATCACCTGGAGCTTTCATATTTTGAAAATTTTTAGTTATAGACCTTACTTCGTCCAAATCAGTCCCCCAGGAATCATCAAAAATATTTTCCCGAGAGAAAATATTCAGAAAATCCCGAGCAACCTGATTCTCAATAGGACTAGTAAGACCCAAACTGAAATTATGGGAACTCTCGAATTGCTTAGCAAGTTTCTGAGCTTTTTCCAAATTTGTGATCAAAATTTTACCACCTTCTTTAAGCGCTGGAATAGGCTTTTGAGGTTTTTTCAAAATTTTTGTGAGTTTCCAAAAGGGTTTGGAACTCGGGTCTAATTTAGAAATATTATTTTCAAAAGTTTTGTTCCTCAGGGCAGAGAATCGCTTTTTAATTTGTTTTTGCAAATCCCGCCAGATAACTTTCATGGCAGGATCGCGTGTTCTTTGATATTGTCTCCTACGGACATTTTTAAGACGGATCAAGAGCTGAAGATCATCGTCTATTATAATTGAATCGAATTTAACCTCGCATTTTGGTACTGAGGCAGCTCTTGCTTCAACTATAGAAGTAGTCAGAGATTCAAGAGCATAATTAATTTCATCTTTGGTTTGCAAAGGAATGTTTGGATCGAAGTTATATTCCATAAATGTTCGATACTGCTCCCAATCAGCTCTATGGTAATTGAAAGTAGAGCTGTTGGGATTACAAATTATTTCTTGGGATATTTCAAAAGTTACTGGAAGGTGATCAGAACCGAAGTCAGCATGGGTAACCAATTGGCTACAAAGTTGACATGAATCAGTTAAGACCAGTTCAGTAGTTGTTTCTACGTTTGAAGTGAACTATCGGGTTTTGCTTTGGATACGAGATAAACTAGGAAGGGGCAAGATCGCCACCCTTCAAATCTACATAAAAATCCTATATATTTGAAAATGCACATACGTACCCTTAAACAATGATCCTAAGATGCAATATTCTAAAAATGGTTAAAAAATATTCAATACCTACTATCGAGAAATTAATTAATTTTCTTTGTAACATCTTGCCCCGGGGTGTAAGAGAACGGTGTAAAAAAAAAAAAAAGTTACTTTTTCAATTCATTTTGTAAGTAGTCAAATGTGGATACATTGAACTATATCAACCCTTGGGCGCTAGAGAAGACATTTAAGAACTAGGACATACAATATTTTAATGTATTAATTGTGATTATTACATATACTAATTATTTCAACCTTAGGGTGGCGATCTTGCTCCGTCCTACCCTACAGTAAGTTTTTTACCCAAAATGCTTCTAGAATTATACTGCCGTTCTTCGCATGTCGGTCCCATGGCAAAAATCAGCAAGCCGAGAAAATCGCATTTTAAGCTTGATTCGTACCATTGCTTCTTATGTGATGAGACAACCAATTTGGCTGTCTTTCCAAACTTTTTCAGAACAAAGTTATTGAGTTCATCCAGTATTAAGAAAATATGGGTGATCAGCTACCATTTGCATTGTAAAACTCAGTTTTGACAAAAACTGCTATGGGACCGATATGCGAAGAGCGGCAGTATACTAGTAGGCCAATAAATTACTGCTCTGAATGACGATCTCTCCCTGTTGGCTTTAGTCCCATTATTTTCTTCAAATCGAATGGAATAGTACCCTGGAATAGGTATTGTCAAGTTACGGTGCATAGTTTTCCTGTCATCACATAAAATTGAAATAATATCGATGTTAAAAGCGAAGATGAGAGGGTCACCGCATTATCTGCTGTCAGATGTTATACGTTTTGTGTTTTTCGTATTAAGAAAGCGCTGGTCAGATTGGTATGTGAAGTTCAATATTAAAGTCAAGATTAAAGTGCAATTTTATTAGAATACTTTTGAAATAATAAACATGTTGCTCCCGCAAATACAAAAACAAACATACAAACTTGCTTTGTTTTTTCACATACGACGCATCACTGTGAGCGTATCTGCAGTTTTTGTGTTATCATCAAATTTCAACAGTTAAGTCATGTTGACAATAAAAGGGTGTATCAACACCATTTTAAAAACAATAAAATGAAGGTCACATAGGGCGTTCATTAAATATATTTTCCATAATGCATTACAATTTCAAACCTTGTTTTTTATTAACTCGTAGGAAAAGCATGTATTTTATATTCGGTTAGATGCAAAATGTCGATTTGTTTATTTTTGCGACTTACGTCCTTTTGAAAAGTTATGCTTGAAATGAAAAATTACAACTTCAAAATAATGGGGCCAATAAAATCTATATGACATCTCATATAGAAGTGCGACAAGTTTATCGATTGTTTATAAAAACCAATATTCCTTCAGCTGCTCCATGAATGGCTAGTAGAATTGGGGTAGAAGTGTTCTCTGCTCCCCTCAATTGTTAAATTAATATTTTTTCCTAAACTCATCAGTTGCAAGAACAGTAAGTGAATCACAAAATAAGAAAGTAGATTCCAATTATTGATAGTGCATAGTGTTGCTAACTGAAACTGACGTGTGATTATAGTCTGTGGATTTACCCTGAAACGTTGATACGAATCACAATGTTAAAACGATATTTAGGTAAATAGTTAATAAATATTATAAGATAACACAGTTAGGTTTAGGTTAGGTTTCTTTATTAAAGATACTTTCTGCCATTGGCTGGTTCGGGTCTGGGAACCCCAAAGCTAATACCGTTTTTTTCTATTGAACTGAGAAGTTATTAATTTGGAATCCTAACTATAACAATCGAGTGCATCTAATTAATTTGGGGCGAAACTTGCTTGGTGCTTCAGAATCAAACATCAACATACATAAGTGTTTCCATAATGACACTATTTGAACGCTTAATCTTCATTTACAGGAACGATTAAATTTAAACATGTGGACAGCTGGCGAAAAGGAAGTTTTTCGGGAAAAATTTTTGCAACATCCGAAAAATTTTGGTATGATTGCAGCCAGCTTGGATAGGAAGAGCGCGCAGGTAAATCACGCTTGTAAAACCGAAAATTGTCTTTTATGCTTATGTTTACCTTTACGTGTCTTTCAGGATTGTGTGCGATATTACTACCTCAGTAAAAAGGCGGAAAACTATAAGCAGTTGTTACGAAAGTCTAGGCAGCGGACACGAAGTTCGAGGAATATGCAGAAATCCAATCAAAATTCGACACAGAGCATAGTAGATGCATTAACAACTGGTGTTACAACAAGGTATGAAATATACATTTAATGTTTAGATCATTTGTTTGGTGTTACATCCATTTTTTGTTCTTTGTTTCAGACTACAACGTGAACAACAACAAAAGACTGTAGGCCGTGATCGTGCCGCGAATTCAACAAATAGTTCAATAGGAAATAGTTCGGCATCTAATGTCTCAACAAATTCATCTTCAAATACTACTAATAACAATAAAAATAATAGTAAAAGTAATAGCTGTAGTGCAGGTAGTATTAACACGAAAACGCCTGTATGTAGTGCATCAACAACAACCACACCAGCTACGGTATCGTCTGTAGCAACAGCACCAGTAATCAACACGGTAACGGCATCTGCAGCATCTCCTCCACTGGCAGTCGCTACAGTGTCCACATCGACGACGTCAACAACTGCGACTAGCATAAGTAGTATAACGAGCACTACAAACAGTAGCAGTAGTAGTAGTAGCAGTAGTGGCAGTGCCAGCAACAGCACTACTAATGAAGGCAGTAGTACATCGAATGTAAATTCCACGCTCCCGGGTACCGAGAGTGCCGAAGCAATTGTAAAGGATGAGACTGGACAGGAGAAAGAAGCAGCTGGTTCTGATTCATCTTCAACGTCTCCACCTCTCACTGCATTGGAAAGTAATAGTACTACTGCTACTTCGACAACTGCCCCTGTGTCGACAAGCCCGGCGCCTGCGAATGCAAGTTCATCGCGAAGTGCAACACCATCCACAGCTGTTCCACCACCTTCTTCATCTGCATCAACACCTAGCATATCGGTGGCCCCGACGAGTATAAATTCGCCGGCGGTAACGTTGCCCAGCATCTCATCAGTTGCAACACTTCCTTCAGTCTCATCATCTAGTATCATCAGTAGTAGCAGTACCTTGGCTCCGGTAGTGAGCGTTGCTGTGTCCAGTAGCAGTAGTAACTGCACGAACAGCAACAGCATTGCTAGCAGTAGCAATGCCAGCAACAACAATAACAGCGGTAATCTGACGAATGTGACTGCCGTGGAAACGTCATTTGTACCTAACCCTAGCCCTAGTATTTCTGCAATTCCGCTAAACGGTGTAAAAACGGACGTACTAAATTCAACAACGGCAACAGTAACAACTGTTCCGACTACGTTGAATAACAACTACAGCAGTAACAATAACGTTAACGCCAGTGTAAATAGCATCATCTCCACAATGCCTAGTTCCGTCGCCGCCAGTGGCGGAATCACGTTGGCCCATGGAGGGTCGGTACCAGTTACGCTTACGGCAGCTGCTCCAGGTGGAATTATTTCGTCCTCGACGTTGCCTCCCAGCTCACAGACACAGCCGCATTTACAACCTCTGCCACACCAGAATGCTGTGGTGTTTAACAATACAAGCACGCCGAAGACGACTTCTTCGTTTGCGAATATCATCAAGGATATTACGTTGGGATCTGTTGTAGTGGTCAATAGTAAACTTGGTGTGAAAGATAACCTCCTCAAGGACGAGTTAGAGCCGAGGTAAGTGCAGCTACCACTAGGAGCGTTGTTTTCTGATATTGTAAACATGTACTGTTTTGTTTTGCAGTGATGCAAAGAAAAGGCGAATCGAATTGGACGGAACAAGGGACGAAGGAACAGCACAGGACTGCAAAGGTAAGTTTTGTTTTTAATTTTTTATCGCCGTCCACCACACTCGGATCATAAATGAAATGACAATGAAAATTGAACTTGTAGTAAAAAGAGCGAAACGTTTGGCTTAAAGGTCTTTAATTATCACGACTATAAAATAAATTCAGTGTACGAAAATCTAAATTTAAAGTTGGTTTATTTTTGTTCTTTCATCAGTAAACCAATTCCAAAATTATAACGGAATCTTGCTACTCAATTAATTGATTCAATAGGTATCAGTCGATAGCTGAGCTTATTCGTTTAGTGCATAAAAAAATAGTGCCCTATTCCATGAAAATAAACTTGATTATTTTGCTATGTATGTTGATTTCTTTGTGTAAATATTTAAGGCAAACGTTAGCATATCGGATCATCTTTACTGATGCATATCAAATTTGGCAACTGGTTACACACATGTACAAAACAAAATATTGATGGAATAACCACGGATTTAGGGCAGGTATCTAAGTAAAAACAAATCTGGGACTTCAAGCAATTTTCGATTCTACGATAATACCCGGAAATCAATTTCCTGCTCGGCCACTTGCCGGAATAATATTACCAGGAATGTACCATTTTCCGGAAAATAATTAACCAGAAAGCACCATTTTGCGGATTTGAAAAATTAACCGGTTTGTTAGTGGTAGTTACACGATGCACTTATGCCTTTAAATACTTAATCAACAGTCTTGAACATTATTAAAACCAACCCGTGCTAGCCATGAAAATTCAAAAATAAGATTAATGGGAATCATAATGAGTACCTAGTGCCGTATTGGCAAAGCTCAAAATACATTAAAAAGATAAACTGTATAACTAAACTGACTTGTCATGAAATGCGTTCCATATGCAGATGGGCAAGGCTAGGATGTCCTTTAATTTACTAACAAAATCATTATTCAGAAAATCAAGAATTGTACGTTTAAGAATATTGAAAAAATGTTATGCTCCTTGAGCGCAAAACAAATTCTAATGTTTTCTAGAGACGAAGAAATATGGACGAAGATTTCTCGGATTAGCTCATTTTCAGCGATAAAACCGAGAAATTTCCTTCCTAACTGTTTTTGTACAACACCGAAATTACGGAAATAAAAACGATTAGAACTTACTGAAGTAAATACTCAAGTTTTCGGAAAAAGTTCTGCGATTCCATATTTGAAATCTGAATGAAGGTGTTGGGCCCTGGAAAATTGTCAAGGCTCTTGGAAGAACATTCCATGGAATTTTGACGAGAATTGGTATAATTCCAGGCATTCTGTAGAGAACTCCAATGGAATTATTTAAAGTATTCTTTAGGAACGCCACGTAGAATTTCCCGGAAATTCTGAAAATAATACCATGGAATTTGCGAGGGAATGGCCAGGTGAATTCAATGGAGAATTCCAAGATCGTTATGAGTACCGTGACCTACCCTAATTCCGCGTAGTATCTATTACCGTGGGTTTGACAATAAACATATGTATTTTGCGATGATTATTGATTTTTTTTTCTAGATAATCATCGTAAACGTTAGCATAACGAGTAATCTTCACTAATGCATAACAACATTGACAACTTTACACATCAGTGTTGCATTATTGCATTAATATCGCGTGACAACTGAGGTGCAACATTTCTCGATTCTCGACGACAAAAACCCTATTGAAATTCTGACTGCTGACAAAATATGATGCGACACGATGTGCGTTGCTTGCTTCGTCAATACACTTTGACAGACAACGTAGTTCGGCAAATTATTTGTCGTCAAAGGAAGAGACTTAAAAGTTTTGCGGACATAGCGCAGGAGTGCTGCAGGGTGACCGGCTATCAATATTATTGTGCCAAAGATCCCGATAGATTCTGGGCATTTTATGCGATACTTTCGGACGAAACAACCATGCCAAAAAAGTCACGATGCATCAATAAGCGTCTCGTTGCTACCGCAAATTGCACATAAGTACATATTTCAATCACTTCGAATGATTCATGAAACGTGTCAATTGTTCTCTAATAAATATTGCGTGAGACATGCATATTCCGAACGCATGGTTATTTTGCGAATATGGAGGCAGCTGACACTACAGCGTTTTCATTTTCCGATAGCTTTGAAGTTGTGCTCAGTCCTTTTTCCAGTCACATAAACTCCGACTTTTCTAGAACGATGGTAAAACAATCAACGAGATGATATTTTTTTCGCTTATTTAGCCAACACTTAAAAAAATCCCGGCATAGAATTACGAGTATCTTATCTTCGGGTTCAGTGGAGCCCAGATTAAAATTAATAGATTCTCAAAATTATATTCAAAGGAATGAAAGTTTATCGACATGGGATTGCGATATTTCCGGCATAAAATTAAGAGAAACACAGATTGGGATTCAGTGATTTACATATTGTGAGATTCAGTAATTTTATGTCCAGAATTTTCGTATACAGAAAATACTTCCGGTGATTAACCCATACCCATTTCGTCATTTCTTGACCGGTTTTGATGAATTAACTTCAGATCGATCCAAAATTTATTCTACTTTTCAATGTTGTTCAGGTTTGCTTCACTTTCAAAATTAAAAAAAGAAGATCTCATGAGCGAGGTAAAAAACAATTTTCAAAAATAAAAACTATTTTAATCACTAAATATTTTTAAAATAAGGCCAACATTATACACAAATCTAGCTAAATCGATAGGAACCTGATGTCAAATGACAATTGTGCAAATCGACAATACAATTTAACGGCCATTATGATAACTGTATGAAGGGAAGGAGGGGCATAGTGAGCTTCCTGTGCTTTAGTCTTAAATTTCTTATGGTTCTAAACAAATGTATTGGCCATTAATCATTGTAATGGTGCTATTCAACCTACTATCAATTACTTTGTTTCGAACAATTAGAAGTTTGGGACTGCAGTGCGGGATGCTCGTTATGCCCCATCTGTTCATTAAGCCTCTCTTACCCTTAGACCCCCGATATGCATTGATTTCACCAAATTTGACAAAAATAAATAAAAAGGTGTATAAAATATAATATTTTATTGGCACACATGGTATTAACAAAATGTCGTTAATTGCAATAGTGTAATGGAGTTTACCATGTCTCATATGGAAAAAGTAGGCATTGCGAAAATGGCAGTTGAAGTTACGAAGTACAATTCTTATGTAAATATTTGGAAAATCATAGTAAATTAATTGATATTTTTTCACGTTGAAATCATCAGTTGCATGTTTTGTTATATCATCAACAAATATGGTGATGCAGAACTGTAACTGGATAAGCGATTACTTTGTTTATTGGGAAAAAATGTCTTGATGTTGTTTCACATTTTTCATGATAAAACTCCGTAGCTTTATCACGTAATATATAAGTAGATGCTAATTGATAGTGTATATATCCCATTGTCTAATAAATAAATAAATAAACAATAAATATATAAATAAATAAATTAATTAATAAATAAATTAACAAATAAATTAATAAATAAATAAACAAATAAATAAATATGAATGAATGAATGAATGAATAAATCGAAAGCTCTCAATTTAAAAACTGGGGAAGAGCATTCATTTAGAACACTAAGTAGAGAATACGCAATAAGCTAATATGTGATAAGCAATACGCTTAGAATGCAAAGAAGAAGAAAAAGAATCACGAAAAGAAGCACAAAAAGAAGAAGTAGAATCTTTTCCTTTATTTAACGTCGGTCTCTGTTCCGCAATCTAGTGCCAATCACCGACGGACATCGATTGCCATCCATTGACGGCAACCGAATGTGCAGGAAGGCAGCTTCCACACCTGCGTAGGATATCGCACCCATTCACAACACACATGGGCCGGGACCAACGGCTTTACTTCCCTTCCGAAGGAAGACGTGACCAGAGATTTTTATGCCTCAGAAAAATCCCACCGACCTCGGCTGGGGATTGAACCCAGACCCATTGGGGTGTTAGAAAGCAGTCACGCTTACCACTACACCACCGGCGCCGGCAAGAGGAAGAAGAAGAATTTTCTGTTTATAAATAAGCATTCATCTGTTCCACTTCATTTTAGAGCATGGCAATTTTGCCCCATAACAGCGGAAACTTTTATCCCGTTGCATTTACATGCCATTTTGAAAAACAATCGTCACCAGCTTTTGATGTGATTTAATTTAAATTACTTTGATTATACCTACTGACAATGTTATTAACACGCAATTGGGTGTTCAAACTCCTGGAGGTTCGTAGTAAAAGACGTAAAATTATGACCCAAGTTGTTGTGTGATCAGATCAGATTTAAACACGTGTTTGACATTCAATAATGATTCAAAGATAGATTCAAGTTTATTTGATATGTAGCGATATTATTTGTTTATCATATTTGAATTGCGTGCTAAGCTTTTGATTAAGTATACCCTGTTGGATTGTATTTGTCTTGTGTTTGTCTTATTCTACAAAATCTCTTCCTCGGCATGACACATTTTCCTGTGTTTGTGAACAAAGTAGTAGCTGGGAAATTTACTACCACACGTTTTACATGGATAGTACTGCACATTCATATCCAGCGGTTTTACCTCGCGTTTGGATCCCGACTTCTCGCATCTGGGGCCGGAAGCGTCCTTATCCGCTTCGGTGATGCCTACGTAATCCGTTACAGCCATACTGGTAGCACTCGCTTCCAAGCTCAGCGGAATCAAGTGGCGCTTAGCGTGCTTTTGGTAGCAGTACTGTGACTTGAAAGTGTGCTTGCAGTAGACACAGTTGTACGTTTCGCCTGCGGCTGCTCCAGATGCCGTGCTTTGTTGCGAGCTTTGCGATTGGTTGTTGTCCTGACTGTTTTCGTCCTTGTTGCTTGCGCACGAAAAACTTTCACCCATAGAGAGGCTCTGCTTTCGCTCATTGATATTTCGCACCATCTACAAGAAAATGATGTACCCATCAAATGTTAGATGAATATAATGTCATAAGTTGATAATTGGTCACTTACCTGTTGGTGAAAGGATGAACTCATATAGCGAGAAACAGCTTTCGAGTCATCTGGGGGAGTAACATTATTGCTATTACTGTTCATGCCATAGCTATCGTTGAGAACCCTACGGAAACGCACCGGTCCATCACAGCTTGCAATATCAATGATCACACCTTTGTCAACCACTCTGGAGTCTTTCGTGGTAGTCGTTGTAACAACAGATTCCGATTTGTTCGAGCTACGTTTTAGTGATTTTGATTGTCGTTTTTGGTTTGATTCCTTTGGGGATTTATCGTCCACATCTCCATGACGTTGTCCGGTAGAAACAGGGTTTTCGGCCAGCACAGCTATTTTTGCATTCCCCGGAGGTGGCGATGAATTTTCAGCATTCTCAACTATTACTGCCGGTGATGTGCCAACAACGGTGGAAAGGCTTTTGAATGGAGTATGAGTGCTCGAGAATAGAATGTGCGAAGCAGGTGGTGCAATAAAGTTGAGTCCAATTCCGGTTGCTTTGCTGGCGATTGGTCGCACTACTTTGCTCGTTTCCAATTCAGGTTTAAGTTTGGATAAACTGTGAACATCAGAAGCACCAGCAGACGATAGGGCGTTTAGTCCGCCGAAATAGTTCTCCGTTTGAGTAGCTGATAGGAAGGAACGACACAATTCCAGTGCTCTTGGCATGTGAAGGATGTGGGTAGCAAGCAGCACGCCGAAAATATTTTCAATATTCAAATCCAAAAATCCAGTGTACATATACGTGAGTAGTGGGGTGAATTGATCTGCGGTCACATTGGGGACATATATTTGCATGGTGTCCGCATTTGCTGCCAAACTGTCTGAACGTAAGGCTGCTCGCAGATAACCACTGTGAACGGAAACCAATGCGCTGTGTGCGGCATACCGTGTGAATGGTGGTGGGCCGACTTCAATGATTGTATCCGGTGGTAGGGTAGTTGTCGGTGGCGCTAACCAATTTGTGAACATCGTGTTTTTTGCGCTCTTGCCTCTGGTTACTTCAATACAGTTTGAAAATCATACTGTTTTGTTGCCCGTTTTTCCATTTCACAAAAAAAAAATCTTTCCGGTTCAAGTGTGCCTACGTAATTGAAAAATTTGCTCCATTTGTTGCTAATTTAATTGTATTCCTCCTTTTTGTCAGGGTTCAGGGACACGCATTACATTTGCATGAACATTCTGCGGCCAAAACGAAATTCACCGACATATTTATCTGGAAAACCACGGGCCAGTTTTTGTGTTCATATTCCCTGAGGCCACAAAAATCGAATTCAAACCACAATTGTTCGCGGATTCGATGGATAATTGAATTAAATTTCATATGTTCACTGTTGTGCACTGGCTCACATAACACATCACTTGATTCACAAATGGCTCGATGGAATCCGCTGTTGCACTGTTTTCTGTACCTAAAACAAATTATGGTTCAACATCCACTTTGCTTTGCATCACAAATGCTGTAGAATCGATTTCAATCCATTGATGAAAAATAATCCGTTCAAAACCCATCGCAATTGAAAATGATGATCTATTAATTATTCCGTGTAATCTAATTTCATGACATAAATCTAATTGCAGGCAATCCAATAGATGTTTATATGGTATCCGTTTGTGCTTCAATCAGTGAAGATGTTTCTTGGGCAAACTGCCAAGGTTCACTAGAAGCACTCCTCACTACTTGTAACCAGAATGTTCGCTTGTTCAAAAACGGTGTGAATCGTGTAACGTTATTTAAGCGAATGAATGAGCAAGGATCATATTTCATATCTCATGCCTTGATTGCTAGCGGCGAAGTTTGCCCGAGTATGACGATTGCCGTTATGATCCGAACAATTTCCCGCGCTGGATGCATATCCTTGTTTTTCTCTATAGCGAGGGAGAGAAAAACTCTCTTGCATATCCTTTCTCTCGCGCTCGCAACTTCTTTTCTAATGTTTATCTTTCTGTGGGATGCGCGGTTTATCCATTGGTGCTTGTGGTGCATTTCATTCGGACGCGAAATCAATTGAATCGTTGATTGATGCGGATCACATCACCAAAGAAATTAGAGAAACGAGGCATTAAAAGGCTATTTGGGAAATGGAGCTGCAGCTCTCTCGGAAATTTGATGCAATTGTTTATTATTGATACACACCAGGCGAGAGATTCAGCCAGATTAAATTAAGTCTAGAGGAAATTTTCCAAACATCCTATACTGTCGCTATTCGCATAACAATCCCATACCCTGTGGATTTCCTTGCTACATGGGACTGTTATGCGAATAGCGGTAGTATAGATGACAGCTCCTTTTAAGTTTGGGCGATGTTAAACGTATCATACTGTGAGCCAATAACCTTATTTACTCGTAATTAGAAAGAGGTCATATATGATGCAGAGAATCTCTTATTGGTATTTTTTTTTTTTTTGAAAAAAGCGCTTTTTCTCAATTGCATGTCTTATTATATCGTATATATTAGACCTAACTAAATCAAAGTCTCTGGCTGAGTAGTTACAAAAATCATTACAATCAACACTAATTAAGTGTAAACACTCTGAATCCTTGCAGAGTATTTATGGAACTGTTCGCGAAAAACCCGATACGCAACCATTCGAGCGAAAGTAAACAAACAAACAGACAAAATACTGGTCCAGGCCTATAAAGGAATAGAAGAGATGGCATGATGTGATTTCTGTACTGCGAGAAAACGAGACAGAAAATCCCAAAGAAAGATTTCCTCGCGGTATTTGCCAAGCAAACCGCATTTTTCGATGGATTTTCTTGTGTACATTTTTCCTCTGTGATTTAGATAAACACTGGAGAAAAAAAATCTAAGGTAACCTGAAAGAGAACGGAGCTGGGAAAACTCAACAGAAATAGGGAGTTGAAAAAATCGAATTATGCTGAAAGTATTTGTTTTTCAATTTAATTCGTCATTTTTTCTGCTGATGGTAGATGCTACTGCTCTCTGTTGCGGTATCGCTGATGTTGCGGGAAAGATACACAGTATTTTTTTTTCTTTGCTTCAGGGATCCGTACAAACGAAGTTTCAGTTTTCTAATGTATGAAATGAAATTTCAAATAACTGCAAAAGATTGGCTGCTATAAATGTTCAGTTCTGTTTTGTTTATTCAGTCGCTCATGTTCGTTGTAAAGTTCGTTTAGTAACGAGAATGTTCTACAACATCCAGGTTTCAGTTTTGTTAACAATATATTACAAATTATGTTCAAAGTTTAATCCAATTGAATCAAAATTATACATTGTGCTATTTAACCCTTATGTGCGTGAAATGTAAGCACACATTTTCTGGGTTTCTTACATGGGAGGGAGGAAGTCTCAGAAATAACAATTCAAATATTCGAATTAAGAACTTATAAAGAAGGGAGGGGGGATTTGTTATTGTGTAAGTTCATGTTTCTATGACTGTTGATGCCTTTGATAGGTCCTAGAGCACCGTAACGCATGCGTTATGATTATTTTGCAGAGCAATGATCACGATTTCTTGATTTTTATTCAAACTTTCGTAAACGAAAAACTAACGTGTTTCGAAATTCGTGACTTGAGGTTGTTGGAGTTTTTCCCGCGTATCAAAGTTCACGGATGCAGGAATGCAAGCACACTTCTGGGTGCATGGTATCACGAAATCATAATTTTATTTGATTCTAGCTGAGTGTGCCCGGCCTTGCTCGAGATTCAATATTAGCTTGAGTTTATGCACCGATTAAAGAAAAGCATGATATATTTACGTAGCAACCACCCCCCTCCTTTTTCAGACAGACAGACAGAAATTAATTTTTATATATTTAGATTCCGGATTTTTCATGGATTTGGGATTAGATTCTTGAAAATCAAATTTACGTTATCACATTTTAGGGAACAAAGTCATGAGTTCATGTAAATTATCAGTTCAGGTTTTCATGATTTTTTGTTCACGAATAACGGAATGTTTTTTTTTTTGCAAGCTGTGGAACTCAATTTGATGTACATTTTTTCCTGTTTAGAACAAAACGAGTATTCAATCTGATGTTCTGCTAAAGCAATGAAAACAAAATTTCAATAGTATATTTCTGGATCAACAATAGAAAAGGGCCCATCAGCATTTGTAAACAAACCGTTCCAAAGCCCATTCCTCACAAATCGAAGGCCGCCCACACAAACCAACACCATAATCGTGTAGGTAGAAGTTTCCCCTATCCGATGATGGTGTTGGTTTGCGTGGGTGGCCTTCGCATTGTGAGTAAAGGGTTTTGGAACGGTTTGTTTACAAATGCTGATGGGCCCTTTTCTATTGTTGATCCAGATTTTTGAAGAGCAAATGGGCAACAAAATTAAAACCAAATTTGTTATCAAATTTGTCAAATAATGCATGTTACATTTTTCAAAAGAATTTAAGTTTTTAGTTTTTGCTCATAAACTGCCATGAGCCTCCATTATTCAAAACTTAATATTTTTGAAAAATTGAAACAAAACGAAAAAAAAAAATGCATCGGTAAAATTTTAATAGGTATGTTGTTTAAAAAAATAACATGCCGTAGTGCCTTTGAACCCCAGACCATGTAAATCGATTATAATCAATGTTTTTCAGTGTAAAACCACAATTACAGCCCATATTAATATTTGTTCCTGAAAACTAAAAAAAAAGACTAGATATAATAATCTTTCATTTGACCTTTTGATCCAAACAAATCGGTCCAGTGGTTTTACCGTCCATGTTAGCTGAATTTTTCGGGAAAAATATCATTAACTGTTTTTCAGTAAACGCATTGGTTTGCTGCTCTTGATCCAGCAATCCGTTTTACTGAAATTTAAATCCCAATTCTCTCCCCTAAACTGTCTAAATCCAGTTTTCATTCTAACAATTTGGTGCAAATTAGATGCATTTTATGTGTAAATTCACTTTTCATATCGAACATATAAAAGTAAAATAATTTAATATCTACCAAACAAAAAACATTATTCGACAAAAGACATGCAATTGGCCGAAAAACCTGTCATTTTCACTAATGTATACCAATCAGATGTCAGAAAATGGTGTATTCACAATTTTATTAATAGAATAATTTGACAGGTTTGTGAGTACAGAACACAACTAAAATAACGGCGACGTGTTGCCAAAAGCGGATTCAGTCCGTTGTACGTACTGCCATTACATTTCTCGTAAGAAGCTAAATGATTCGGCTCAGTAAGCAAAAACGGTCGATACTAGGCCACCGAGAAACTCACGCTGTACCCGCTACTTTTTGTGCTAAAATTCCAAATTTGGGCAATTTAGAATCATTAAATTTTATTTTTTAAATTTTACATACAAATAATAGGGTACGGCTTTGATAAGTCATGTGTTGAGAAATATAAGAAGAAAAAACACTACAAAAGCTCGTTATATTTCAAGGTGAAGTACCGTAGGATTGAACCCTCGTTCTTGTGCTGATTGTAAGCGCTCCGCGATCATAAAACCGGTTATTTTATTCCTCTGAAAACAATATTTAAAGGTTTCTTGCGTCAAACACATACGTCTTCTTGTAATTTACAAATAAAAAAATATAATTTTAATAGATAATAATTTCATCATTCAGAAAAATGTGTTTTTTACGGAATGATCATTGGCAACCTTGCTGAGAAGTCTGCATGTTGATGATAACAATTTACTTCCACAATTTCAAAAACTGATTGAATTGCAAATTCAAGTTAAATTCGTTGTATCGGAATTATAGCAATTGTTAGTTCCTTTACAGATTCATTATACATATTATTGTAAGAATGTTTTGATTAGAGTATGCGTTTTAGCCGGCATTGGGCATTTAATGTGTTTTGTTCAAATCCAGGAAACCATTTTCCTCCGCTTCTAATGCATACGTGGCTCTATATTCTACTATTTGAACATTAAAGTCAACATGTTAACAAAAACTCATTCACCTTAAGTCGGATACATAGCGGCGTATTCGCACCTGTTCGTCAACTTGCATTATCTTGAACAGAATGGAACGCTAACCAAACATTTGCCGCTACCGTATACCGTTGCAGCACGGGGAAATAAACCAAAATCCGTGGAGAAATTCACAGATTCATTTAATGGTTTGCAAACATAAGCTCTGAAAAATATGGGGAATTTGAGTGAAACCAGAAGCTGCTGACGAAAGCAGTAAAAGAGTCTCTCAAGATATGCAAGTTTAAATATTTGATGATTGTTCAGGTTTCCACTTCTTCTACGTTCCGTTTATTCCCTAAAGACCCTTACCTTCAATTGACTGTGGGAGCAAACGAAGTGTGTATCTTTCTGCGGTGACACAATCCTATTCCGCAGATCTTTCGTTTTTTGTTCCTTTATACATCCTGGGTGCTAACCAAAATGATAGAACGTATTTGTTAGCGTTCAACGGTCGTTAAAATCAGTTTTCAAAAAATGTAACGCTAAAGTTGACATGTGTTGATTGTTCGTGCCTGAATTAGCTCTTTTTCGCTGAATCGCTGAAAAAAAATGTGAATCATGCATGTCTTCCCAGTCACGTGATCAGCGGGACATCGAATATTCAACCCCTTTCCGTACATATTCATATCGTAAACCATCATCATTGTCGGTTGGTGTGTTCCAGATTTATTGCGCTGAGTAATTAATATTTACTTTTAATTAAAATTCAATTTTTATTTATCAAATGAAAAAGCTCACCACGCTTGATACGTTTTTTTTTGTCGACCTGTTATGCACTATAAATGTGTGTATTATCCTTTTTCGCCCTTTTTCC